ACCAACAACAACACCAACATCAACAACAACAGCAACAACAACAACAGCAACAACACCAACAACAACACCAACATCAACAACAACAGCAACAACAACAACAGCAACAACACCAACAACAACACCAACATCAACAACAACAGCAACAACAACAACAGCAACAACAACAACACCAACAACAACACCAACATCAACAACAACAGCAACAACAACAACAGCAACAACACCAACAACAACACCAACATCAACAACAACAGCAACAACAACAACAGCAACAACACCAACAACAACACCAACATCAACAACAACAGCAACAACAACAACAGCAACAACAACAACACCAACAACAACACCAACATCAACAACAACAGCAACAACAACAACAGCAACAACACCAACAACAACACCAACATCAACAACAACAGCAACAACAACAACAGCAACAACACCAACAACAACACCAACATCAACAACAACAGCAACAACAACAACAGCAACAACACCAACAACAACACCGACATCAACAACTCCAACAACAACAACAACAACAGCAACAACACCAACATCAACAACAGCAACAACAACAGGCGACATTCTGGAGGGGTGCATTCACTCACACCTCCCCCTGCCACCGACTCAGCCACTCACCGAGTCACTTACCCAGCCCCTCCCCACCCAGCCCCACCCTCCCCACCCAGCCCCACCCTCCCCACCCAGCCCCACCCTCCCCACCCAGCCCCTCCCTCCCCACCCAGCCCCACCCTCCCCACCCAGCCCCTCCCCACCCAGCCCCACCCTCCCCACCCAGCCCCACCCTCCCCACCCAGTCCCTCCCCACCCTTTCAACCCAGCCCCTCCCGTAACCCCAAATCCGACACTTCTGCCTCTGCTGCCCCTCCCCCGTACCGCCTGCATGTTGCCCCTACACTGCCCTCATGCTGCCCCTACACTGCCCCCACACTGCCCCCACACTGCCCCTACACTGCCCCCACACTGCCCCCACACTGCCCCCACACTGCCCCTACACTGCCCCTACACTGCCCCTACACTGCCCCTTCACTGGCCCCACACTGCCCCCACACTGCCCCTACACTGCCCCCACACTGCCCCTCCACTGCCCCCACACTGCCCCCACACTGCCCCTACACTGCCCCTACACTGCCCCTACACTGCCCCTACACTGCCCCTACACTGGCCCTACACTGGCCCCACACTGCCCCCACACTGCCCCCACACTGCCCCTACACTGCCCCTACACTGCCCCTACACTGGCCCTACACTGCCCCCACACTGCCCCCACACTGCCCCCACACTGCCCCTACACTGCCCCTACACTGCCCCTACACTGCCCCTACACTGGCCCCACACTGCCCCCACACTGCCCCCACACTGCCCCTACACTGCCCCCACACTGCCCCTACACTGCCCCCTCACTGCCCCCACACTGCCCCTACACTGCCCCCACACTGCCCCTACACTGCCCCTACACTGCCCCTATACTGCCCCCACACTGCCCCCACACTGCCCCCACACTGCCCCTACACTGCCCCTACACTGCCCCTATGCTGCCCCCACACTGCCCCCACACTGCCCCCACACTGCCCCTACACTGCCCCCACACTGCCCCTACACTGCCCCTACACTGCCCCCACACTGCCCCTACACTGCCCCTACACTGGCCCCACACTGCCCCCACACTGCCCCCACACTGCCCCCACACTGCCCCCACACTGTCCCTACACTTCCCCCACACTGCCCCCACACTGCCCCCACACTGCCCCCACACTGCCCCTACACTGCCCCTACACTGCCCCTACACTGCCCCCACACTGCCCCTACATTGCCCCCACACTGCCCCTACACTGCCCCTACACTGCCCCCACACTGCCCCTACACTGCCCCTACACTGCCCCCACACTGCCCCTACACTGCCCCCCACTGCCCCTACACTGCCCCTACACTGCCCCCACACTGCCCCTACACTGCCCCCCACTGCCCCACACTGCCCCTACACTGCCCCCACACTGCCCCTACACTGCCCCTACACTGCCCCTACACTGCCCCCACACTGCCCCTACACTGCCCCTACACTGCCCCTACACTGCCCCTACACTGCCCCTACACTGCCCCCACACTGCCCCCACACTGCCCCTACACTGCCCCTACACTGCCCCCACACTGCCCCTACACTGCCCCCACACTGCCCCCACACTGCCCCTACACTGCCCCTACACTGCCCCCACACTGCCCCCACACTGCCCCTACACTGCCCCCACACTGCCCCCACACTGCCCCTACACTGCCCCCACACTGCCCCTACACTGCCCCCACACTGCCCCCACACTGCCCCCACACTGCCCCTACACTGCCCCCACACTGCCCCCACACTGCCCCTACACTGCCCCCACACTGCCCCCACACTGCCCCCACACTGCCCCCACACTGCCCCTACACTGCCCCCACACTGCCCCTACACTGCCCCTACACTGCCCCCACACTGCCC